ACTTAACCTTTATATAAAACTCTCTCTTATACATGAGTTTCTGTGGATTTGTTTCTCTAAAGTACCCAGACTATCACACTGGGTTTCTTAGGCTAGATAAAATTAGTGGTTAGGGGGAAAAGAGAGGCTTTCTCAAGATTCTATGCAGGTAGAAGGTTAAACTTCATGAAGTCCAACACAAATACAAAGCATGATTTTTTAGAGGGCTCTGAGCTTCATGGGGCAATTGTTGTTAGGCAAGTAAGCAGGTACAAGTTTAACACGGACCTTTTTAACATCTTAGCAAACAAAATAAACCAAGACTCTCATGCCATCTAGTCGATGCCAACTCATAGCAACCCTAGGGGACAGGGTCACACTGCTCCTGTGCATGTGCAAGCCTGCAACTGCTCGTGGGAGTAGAAAGCCCGGATCTCGCCCTTAGAGTGGCTGAGGGTTCCCAGCTGCTGACCTGGTGGATCGCAGCGTAGCGTGTAACCCTCCCTCACCAGGATTCTCTGGATCGAGTAAAATCAGTGAGTGACTTGAAAATCATGTGACCTTCTCTTCCAGAACCCTTGGGTCTTCTATGGTCCGATGGAGTAAAGACATACAGCCCGAAGCAAGAGTCACGTAAATCGCTATCTTATCTCTAGGTCTCATCTTGAAATATGCCTCCGTTTTGAATTAGCCAAATACTTCTTCCGCTTGGGGACAGAAGACGCACCCACATGTTCTCTTAGCACCAAACTGCAAGCATGAAAGCATCCGCTCCTTTGCTCTCCTGTGTGCTTTCTACTAAGTCTCGATTTTGTCTGCCAGCCTTCCTTACCCGTCCACATGTTCCTGTTGTCATGTTGTCAGTGTAAAAGGCAAGACTCTATTTTGACATTTTTTTCCTAATTGCTTGGTTAGTGCTAGGTCCTGGAAGGATGTTAACATTGCCTGAGTTGGTTTTTACAGAGCTGCCGTCTTGAGGATGCTTCCGTTGAATTGCTCAGTGTTGCAAAAGGGTTCCTCTGAACACTGGGTCTCACCCTGCCTTCATCTCCATCTGGTTCTATTGCATCACAGAGCAATGGAAAACTGGGGCTTGCTGCTCTGGAACAGAGGGAAATTATAAAGCAGAGCTGAGCTGATCCACACTTGACCTTGGTTTGGACATGTCAATCCTGCCCCACCTCATAAAATCATTCCTTCACACAAATCTTCCTGTATATAATCCACAGCTAGAGTCCACAGAAAGCAAGAATAATCCTTTGGAGATCTGTTTTCAGAAGATGGTTATATTAAGATCTGACCTCCGTTCCATCCCCCTCCTGCCCCCTACCCTCCCCCCAAAAAAGATCAAATGCCTTGGAGTTCATTTCAATTTCCTGATTCATGGACAGCGCCTAGGAGCCAGAATAACAGTGTTTCATAGGGTTCCAAGACTGACCTTTCTGAATTAGACAGCCCAATCTTTCTTCCAAAGGGCCCCTAGGTGGGTTTGAATCACCAAACTTTGGTTAGTAGCCAAGTACTTAAGTATTTGTACCACCCAGGGACTCCACTTGGGACCTAGAGGCCAATTACTTATTAAAATTAAAATGAACCCAAAGCCATTGGCAACTGAGTAATCATCCCTTTCTCAAACACATTCTCCCCCAAATTAGCATCATGTCCCCTATGTCTCTGAAATCAGGACCCTGTGACATTACATGTTCACTTGGCAAGAGACTTGCAATTTCCCTTTCTGGGTCCACTCTCCAGAAATGATTCACTTCCAACCTCCCTGGGAATCACCTCTAATCTCCCGGTGTCCAACACAGCCCCTCCTCCTTCAGTCCTCCGGGCTCAGCGTTACATTTGGTGTTTGTCAGCAGCCATGGACGGACACATGCTCTCTCTCCTGTTGGCTGCTGCTCTCACCTGTGGGTCCTTAAGATTTCAGTAGCAACACAGGAGAGAGTTCAGAACCTGTCGCCCACACCTTGCTGTAAGCCAGAGAAACCAGAGACAGCTTTCCCTACTTGTAAATGTCAAGTGTTCAGTACCTCTCAACTGGGGCTGACGAGGAAGGTAACCTTGGATCCTGGCAAGGCTTTGAACACTCAGATTTTAGAGTTGGCTTTCACCACAAAAGCATAGGGTTGGTAACGCTAGCGCCCTCTTTCATCTGGGCTTTACTCTCTGCAACACCCACTTAGTGACACATTCGTTCTGATTTGCCGGGGCAACCCGAAGACAAACAGCTGATTTTCAAGTTTGTTCTCCAGGGCAACCAGCAGATTTGTGCGGGTGGAGGAGGTCTACAGGATGCTACTTGTTCTAACAGTCTTCCTCCCAAGGCTTCCCAATGGTAGTTTTTCTTCTCTTAATAAACCAGCACGCTAAACAGCACACCCTGCTTAGTATCAACCCTGCTTTGTAAACAGGGATACAACAGGGTTGTGGGAAACCCTTAATAGGACTGGTATTGGAGCATCAGGCCCGTCAGGAACCGATCTCCAAGTCTGGCACCTGAAACACCTCCCTGTGGTTTGGTGAGATTGTGGTGGTCACTGGTGTCAGCCTCACCTTCCCTGCAGGATCCTAGAGCTCCATCCTGGTCCGTGCATCCCTAGCACAGCCATCTCCGCTCTGTCATCGCCATCAGCAGAGGTTGGTTTGTTGCCATGAGGGGGAAGAGGTTTCAGCAACACTTCCAGATTAAGCCAGACTAGGAAGAAAGGGCCGATGATCTACTTCCAAGAACCAGCCAATAAAAACCCTGTGGATTATAAGGATCAGGTCTGCCACCTGTCCTGGGTCGGGTAGAGGAACAGGAAGCATTTTGTGCTGTTGAGCGTGGGAGTGACCTTGATTCATAGGATGGCAGGGCAGCTTTAGGTGGTCTTCGTGCCCAGTGTGGTCAGGATGCCTTCGTTGCAGTCAGACAGAAGGCATGCACTTAGACTGGTGGGATCTGGGCTGCAGGTTTGACCCAGCGACCAGATGCCGGGAGTGGAAGGCAGACCAGATAAGAAGGAGAGAGTGGACTCAAACGTGCGCCCTGCCTTTCATTCCAGAAAAAAACAGCTTGCCATGAAAATTGCCCACCTTGTTTTGCAGCTCAGGGTCAAGGTTGTGTGCCCTGACCCTGGCCCGAGCCGTCGTGATTAGAAAGTGCTCCACACCTTGGAGAGCTGAGGAGACATGAGAATAATTTTAAATGCAAATGAAATTGAGGGGGTAGCAAAGAGAACACGTGAAAGACAGCCGAACAAAACCTTTCAATTTTCTTAAATTAGCAGTCTGATGTGCTCTCGAGAGCAGCCCTGTTCAGCTCTCTGCTGAGGGGCTGCATTCCGTTGCCATAAAAAGTGGGCAAATCCGTCACTTGGCTTCCCTCGGTGCTCTTGACTCAGGATCACAAGGAAGATTAGGAGCTTGGGGTTCAGCAGCAGCCGGCTCAGCCTGCCTCCCTCCTGCTGAGGGTCCAGCAAGGGCTGGTGAGTATCTGCTAACTTCAAGACTCTTTCTTTCCTGCGTCTGTTCTAACTCCCTTTTCTGTCTGTCCAGGGGTCCCCC